CTTTTAAAAAACTGACTAATACTGCGATGGTGTCTACCACATGTATTTGAACCTTTCCGGATTGCATTCAAAATGAAATGTTTAATTATGATTAAAAATTCAAAATAGCTGTTTGGCTATATGTTGATTCTTTTATTTTACATTTTATTTGAATACTAGTCTCTAATGTAGTGGACATTCTTTGTGACGTAATCGTGTATCTTGATGCCATTTTGTTTGTAGTACTTAAATAGTTCAATAAAAAAAATCGCGCATCAGATACATTTACCACTAGGGGAAAATCTAGTGAAACACTCAGAAATGAAATGTCTAGTAAATTTCACAACCCCAAACCCCAACCCCCCCACTCCACCCCCTCCCCAAAGAATCGACAAGTAACGCATTCACATTGTTTTAAACGTCAAATTTTGGAGTAGAAAGACGTACTACAATAACCTTAGTTTTATTTAAATCTTTTTTTTTTATTTTTTTTTTACAGTTTTTCATAATCATAGTTATGCTACTTTATTGTAAAGTGAACGATTTTTGTCTCCTGTAGTTTCCCACTTATGACCAAGAATACAATAATTTAATATAGACTATTATATAAAATATACAGTTTTAAAACTCATTTATTTATTTATTTATTTATTATAACTGGATTCTCCAAAGAATAAAACGCATACTTTCTTAACTTACTAGTTATTAAATGAGTTAATTTGTGGAGGTCCAAAAGATTTGTTTTGTTTTGTTTTTTAAGAAAAGGAAGGGAAACACTGCTCTGTAGGTTCCGCCTCGCGCTGGGTCAGGATGGGGTGTGAATACTAAAGCAGCAGATGGTGAGCGGACACAGACAGAGAGTGGGGGCTCTGGAGGGCTTTTGTCTACAGTGACTATTGAACCCCGGTAATCTCAAACTAAATTACAACCCGAATCTCGACACCCGTCCACGCGCCCGGTCGCTGCGCCTTTATTCTGACGTGAGCGCAGATCCGATCATCATCATCATCACCATCCCGGCTCGCGTTCTCGAAAATCAGAGCTGCTCCCAGACCGGTGCCATGTCTTTCCAAGGCAAGAAGAACAACCCTCGCGTGACGGTAAGAAATGTTAGCGATTTAAACCCGAGGCACCGGCGAGTGTTTGCTGGCTGCAGTAACGGAGACAGTGATGTTGAGGAGGAGGAGGATGGTTGTATTGTGCAGTCAAGGGTGAGCCTCCGCTGTCCTCCAAACACTGCTGAGAAAGCCGGTGAACATTTAAGAGCTGCACTAATGCATGCAACGATGTGACAAATGTAGATGAAAACGCTGCTTCAGTGTTAATGTGTTTAATCTGCCATGGCGGCGGAACCGGTGGCTTATTCCCGGTTTCTCGTGTCCATTGTGTCTTTTTTTTGGCGGGGTTCCCCTGGTAAAATTCGCATTCCAGGGGCTAAATATCACGTTAGTGGGGTCGTTTTTCAACCCGCGGACATGAAAAACAACCCGTGGAGCGGCAACAGTGTTAAAGCAGCCCAATTCCGCGGGAAAACCGGGGACTTGGCAACACCGGAAGAGGATAGCTTTCGGATAGCGCATCAAGAACCGGGTTGACCGGGTACTCGGTACCACCGGTACTTAAGAAAACCTGGTACCGTAACGTTTTAATTTTTTTAGTACCGACCTGGTACCGAAATACCGGGTCTTTTGACAACACTAGTTAATTATATAAAAACAATTTTATATTTAAAACAAAAATTCTTATTTATATGTTCATGACCATGTCAGGTTCCAGTAACAATAATGATGTGTTATTATAGTGTATGCTTTACCAATAACAATGACCCAAAGACAGTAAAATGGTTAATAAGCAAGGATTCATCCCCAGTGTTAATGTGTTTAATCTGCCATGGCGGCGGAACCGGTGGCTTATTCCCGGTTTCTCGTGTCCATTGTGTCTTTTATTCATTCATGTCGGCTCATTTCGGTTCCGGTCGGTCTGACGTCTTCATGAATATAAAATACGAATTTTGGCTTATGCGTTCAGTAATAGCGACGCTACACCGTTTACGCCGTTTTACGTTTACGTCGCGAGCGTTGAAATCTTTTCTCCGGCCTAGACGTGTGTCCGGGGGCCCTGCCCATGAGCCCTGGCCCCTGGCAAACATTACGGGATGGGACTTTGATTAATGTAAAGGTCTATTTCACAGACTATATATCATAGTATGCCAATGTAGCTACTAACTCATTTGAGATATAAGAATCTGTTTGTTGATGTAAAATATGCTAATAATAGTACAATGAAAGGCCACTAAATTGGCCTCTCCAGCAGCTGTGGTCAGTAATTATAGAAGACTGAGCACATTACACACACAAGCACAAAGCACCATACAGTAAATGTAACACAAGGCAGTTCAAGTATAATACTGAGGGCAAAAACAGGAATAGTTAAAAAAATAAATAAAACAAATGTGTTGGAAATTCCCTTTCCCCATGAATTACAAGGTGGTTTTACTACACTTTTTAAAATATTAACCCTATTAACACTGTTTACTGCAGTTTTTTAACCATTCAGTCTTGCATTTAAAGTAATGATTTTGGAATAATATTGAATATTTCATTTTACGTGAATTTTTTTGACAGATAGATCAATGGGAATAATTATATATGTTTATTTGTATTATATTTTTAATTTGAATTAAAAAGATACATTAATATGTTGTTTTTTCTGTTATATAGTATTTCTTACATCAGTGAGTTAAATTTACCCTATTATTTTGCCATAGTTACTTTATTGTAGCTGTGTTAAAGTAGTGTCTGATCATAACTGTGACCAAGAATACAATATATTCTTTTACACTTTTTTTAATTGTATTTTTTTTTAAATAAACTTTTGTAGGTGTTTTTAAGGGGTATTACATAATTTCATTAATTGCTTTTTTAATATTTTACCATGAATGTTATGTATTACCTAGTTACATGTAATAAAATATTCTGAGTAAGGTAATACATATTTAAAAATGGATACTAATATAGTATATACTAATTTATACTAAAATACCTTTTTTAACATTATTTTACAGTACATGTATTGTCATAAAAAAATAAGGTATGTTAAAGAAAATTAACAGGTTTTCATTGTAGCATTTTTACATTCTTTTACAAATTAAGTATTAAAATACAATTTTTTTTTACATGTGGAAAGGTCAATATGGCATACTTTTCATAGTTAATAAAAACAATTTTATATTTAAAACAAAAATTCTTATTTATATGTTCATGACCATGTCAGGTTCCAGTAACAATAATGATGTGTTATTATAGTGTATGCTTTACCAATAACAATGACCCAAAGACAGTAAAATGGTTAATAAGCAAGGATTCATCCATGTGCACTGCAGGAGTGAGAAAACCCAGAAAAGAGCACTGTTAGTACGGCCAAATTGGATCCAATTCCTTCTGCACAATTTGGCATTGCAGCCTGACCGCTAGAGTCTCCGTCTGACCCACATTCAATCCACAGAAACACGCATACTCAGCATGACTTTGATTTGGAAACATCTGCATAAAAAAAAAAAAACATAAAGTGATGCAAATTACTGAGAATAATAATTGCATATTCATGCAATGTTTAATAATACACTCCTATAATTCATTGCTAAAGGCTCTGGATATTCAGTACTGTAAGTTGAAGGGTCGTCCTGGTGTTACACGCTGCATCCCAGACCCCTCGCTGTCTGTCTCGTCTCTCCACAAGCAACATTGTGGCCCAGAATCGGAAATGCTCGGCAGGGATTTTGGCTGTGCCAATGATGGGCCGCCCGTGGAAGTGTCACATTGCATTAAAGTGAAGCTCTGTGGGTTGCACACCACCCCGGCACAGTGAATGTGGTGAAATACCCTTGAGCAGAATTTAAAAAAAAGTTTATTTGATTTCTTTCTTTATTTAGCCATGTCTGTTTAGACTTTGTGAGAGTTAGGTTTTGTGCTGTGAGTTGAGGTTGCCAATGTCTAACAGTACCGTGAATGATGTTTCATGCCTGGGTGACCTAACAAGCCCAGTTGTGTGGCATAGATCCATGCCAGGGGTGAGTGAACAGGCATTGGTCTCCTGTAACTGGGATTATCAGAAATGGTGCAAAAAAAGGACAGTGAAAAGTATCAGTCGCTATGAATTCATGCAAACCAGCAGCAGTCATGCGTGGATAATAAAGTAAATAGAAAAGTGTTGTTACAGATGAATGGAGTTGCCTGTTATCTTTCTTTTGTATTTTCTGTCTGGGTTCTTAAATGTCTGGTTTTTGAATGATATAATCTCTCTGATTAGCTCCTTAAAGAACGCTGCATATTGCATAGGAGGATTTGCATGAATTATACAGCTCTTTGTGGTTTGAAATCACTCTATATCTACATCCAAAGATCTCTGGAACTGGGTCAGCATGGTTTCAGTGAAATTCAAAGCATTTTAGTTCAATCTAATGATCTTTTGGGTATCTTGAAGCTGAATATCTCAAATCCCTGATGGCAGTGATGCCAAACCTGTGTTAAAGTTAGAACTTTTTTTATTTTCTAATTTTTATGTTCCATGGATGGGTGAGCAGATGATAACAGCATATTCATTTGCAATGAATAATCACTTTGAAGTGAAATCACTTGCAACTTTTGAAATAACACGATGCACTAAAGTCATTTTTTATGTCTTCTTTTTTCTCCACAGAGTGATAAACTCATTATTAAAGGTGGGAAAATCGTAAATGATGACCAGTCATTTTATGCCGACATTTACATTGAAGATGGAACCATTAAGTAAGATTTTGTTATTTCTAAAATCTACACTTTAGCCACAAAACATTCTAAACTTTACATTAAAAAAGAGTTTTTTTAAACGTTTATTTTAATTGCAATTAAATTCAGGGTTGCCAGGTCTAACAAAACTTTTTAGGGTAACAAAACTGGGCCAAAGGCAAATCAAAAATAGCCAAATAATAGCCTTAATGTTAAGATTTCATTATTTAAAAAATCTGCATATTAACCATTAAAAACATTCTATACTTTACATTAAAAAGTAGCTTATTTATTTTTATTGCGTTTATATTATATCGAGGGTTGCCAGGTTTACTTAAAAATAACCCAAGCGAAAAATCAAAAATAGTCCAAAAACATTCTTAACTTTATATTAAAATTAGTTTATATATTTATTTTAATTGATATTAAATTATACTTGCCTATCCTAAATATCAATACTTTACAGTCACTGTTATGCGTTATTTGCAATTTAAACATGAAAAACATCAACATCTGTTTTCATTAAAACTCCCCTCAGTTTTATCATTGGTAGAATATAAAATATTTCAATACATGCTTTTCAGTTAAATATAATTTATGCAATATGTCGAACCATTAACCCACGAGGGGGAAATAATCAACCCACATCATCAGTTTAAACGTAGCCCTGAATTTGCCAGCCGTGATATAATATATATTTGACATTTCGTTTAGCAGATTATTTTGTCCAAGGCGATTTGATGAGGGACATCACACGCAGTTTGTATTGATTTATTATTCTGGCATGCAGGCAGATTGGTGAGAACCTCATCGTACCAACTGGTGTGAAGACAGTGGATGCCTACGGGCACATTGTGATCCCGGGAGGCATCGATGTGAACACCTGTCTACAGGCCCCTCACCTGGGCATGACCCCGGCAGACGACTTCTATCATGGCACCAGAGCTGCTCTAGCGGGAGGAACCACCATGATCAGTATGTCATTACATCAACACCTTACAAGAACAGAGGAGAAGAGAGTAGAAGACCTACAGTAGTTATCAGATCATTAAACTCAGAATGGAAATCTAGTGGGGCAGAGAGGAGGGTCTCTGCTAAAAAGTGTGTGTGTGTGTGTTGTGCAGTATTAGGGAATAAGAGCTTGTCGGGTCTCATAAAATCAGTTGAATTGGGGTCACAGCGCTGTCACTGTCTGTTCTCTTCTCCTCTGCTCAACTTTCCTCAGATAAGCTGCTGTACTGGAGGCATTTAGGACACAGAAATCATTGGGTTTAAATGCATCATTTCAACCCAATAGTGAAACACAAAACAAATCTTGACTTTATGGAGAAGTTTGTGACCCTAAACCACAAAACCAGTCATACGGGTCAATTTTTTGCAATTGAGATTTATACATCATCTGAAAGCTGAATAAATAAGATTTCCATTGATGTATGGTTTGTTAGGACAGGACAATATTAGATACAACTATTTGAAAATCTGGAATTGTGCTTTGTTTTTTTATTGCTGAAGAGTGTTTCTTCTCCTGCGTTCTACTGTACAGACGTGAATTTACTTTTGCTTCAGCCTGAGGTTTATTCATTACACTTTTTGGTGTGAAAGGGCTTTTATATTTGCTATAAATAGAACTTCTTATATTAAAAACAAGCAAGCCCTGCTTATATTTAAAAAGTAACGCGAAAGTAACACAAAAGTAATATAACGCATTACTTTCCATAAAAAGTAACGAAGTAACGTAATTAGTTACTTTTTTAGGGAGTAACACAATATTGTAATGCATTACTTTTAAAAGTAACTTTCCCCAACACTGCATATTACTAATAAAAAATTAAGCTTTGATATATTTATGGTTGGAAATTTACAAAATATCTTCATGGAATATGATATTTATGTAATATCCTAATGATTTTTGGCATAAAAGAAAAATCAATCATTTTGACCCATACAATGTATTGTTGGCTATTGCTACAAATATACCTGTGCTACTTATGACTGGTTTTGTGCTCCAGGGTCACATTTGTATTTTAGTTTTTTCACCATTTTGAATCACCTTTTGCTGTATTCTTCTCCTAGTTATCCTGCTGTTTGACAAATACAAAATCCATGCAGTTACTCAATTTTCACAGGGTTTCTGTGGGCCTTAAAAAGGTCTTAATTTGCCCTTCCACAAATGAAGGCCTTAAAAAAGGTCTTAAATCAGAGCAAAAAGTCATAAATTCATGGCATTAAATGTTGCATGCATTGCTAAAAATGTATGTCTTCCTCTGTATTTTTGCCTTGTTTTCCATTGCAAATATCTAAACATCCTTAAATCAAGACCCATTTACTTGAGATGCGAAATGAAGATATGTTTTCTGACAAAACGAGCAAAATTAAGTGAGTTTGTTTAAGACAAGAACAAGCATCTGTCAGTAGGGTATGAAAACTTATTTTTCTTATCTAAGTGTCTTATTTTATAAAATGAATTAAAATAGAGATGAGTTGGAAGTTGTATTGTCAAACTTTTTCGAAGTCCTTCAATTTTCTATACTTGGTCTTTAAAAAGGCTTACATTTATGCCCATAAAACCCAACCCACAGAATCCTGTATAAGCAGCAGCTTATACAATTACCATGCATAATTATGGAAAAATTAGAAAACGTTTTTGATGAGTTACAGCATCTCAGACTGCTGTCATTGCTTGAAATATTGTCAGCTACCCATTTATGACCACAAGCATTTAACACAAGAGTCTTTAATATATATTTTTTAACATATTAAAGGGATAGTTCACCCAGAAATGATCATTCTGTCAGGTTTAATGCAGGTTTGGAACAGCTTGAGGGTGAGTAAATGAGGACAGAGTTGTCATTTTTTTAAGCATGTTTTTAATCTGTATGCTCTGCTCATCTTTTAGTTGACCATGCTGTACCTGAACCGGGAGCTAGTTTACTGGCAGCGTATGACCAGTGGAGGGATACGGCGGACAAGAGGTCGTGCTGTGATTACTCTCTGCACATTGACATCACTCGCTGGCATGATGGGCTGTTTGAGGAGCTGGAGTCTCTGGTCAAAGATAAAGGTGATGTGAGATTTCAGGTGTGACTTTGATATTTTTGCTTTCTGCGTTATTAGGTTTCTTAACCAAACACATTCAGCATTCAGCCTCAAAAATATAAATTACATTATAAAAACACAATTCTTCGTTTTTTTGTTTTAGGTGTCAACTCCTTCCTGATCTTCATGGCTTATAAGGACAAGTATCAGAGCTCTGATACACAGGTAAATAAAATGCTAAAAATAAAGAGAACGATGTTTACACTACAGTTCAAAAGCATGAGGCTCACCAAGGCTGCGTTTGTCTGAACAAAAATTCAGTAAAAACAATAATATTGTGAAATATTATTACAATTTAAAATAACCGTTTTCTATTTGGATATCTTTTAAAATATAATTTATTCCTGTGATGCAAAGCTGAATTTTTTAGCATCATTACTCCAGTCTTCATGGCACACGATCCTTCAGAAATCATTCTAATATGCTGATTTGCTCAAGAAACATTTTTCAGTATTAATGTTAATGATAATGTTGAAAACAGCTGTGCTGCTTAATAATTTTGTGGAAACAGTATTAATGTTTTTACTATCACTTTTGATCATTTTAATGCATCCTTGCTGAAAAAACAAACTTTTTAACATTTAGCAATCCTGTTCCCAAGAACTAACACTCTCTGTGTCTGTAGATCTATGAGATGTTTAGTGTCATGAGGGAACTGGGTGCCATCGCACAGGTTCATGCTGAAAACGGTGACATCATTGAGGAGGTAACCTAGAGTGCTTCAATTGCTAATGCATTTCTATTCCAACTATGTTCTTTTATCAAATATACCAGTTCCTTTTCTTCTCCATACTTAAATGCATTCTTGGTTCTGTTTGTAACCTCAGGAGCAGAATAAGCTTTTGGATCTGGGAATCACTGGCCCAGAAGGACACGTCCTGAGCCACCCGGAGGAGGTTAGTCTTAAGGGATTGAGTCGGTTTAAATCAAAATCTGTTCTACCCAGTGTTCGAACTATACCGTGGACTTTGGGGGAGCCCACTTGTTTTTTTTTTTAT